ATGATAACTGAATTTTGAAAACCTGCCGTGCATATTGCTCATTAAAGCTCTGGCGGATATCAAAGCCTTTTTGCCCAACGACTGATGGACATCGTACACGTGAGGGAATGGGGATTAAAAAGGGGTGCATGTGCAGTGACGCGCTATACGTTAATTAATTTTTTTTCTTTTTTTTTTTCAGCCCAAAAAAGCGCTGGTATATATATATATATATATCCTTTCGTGATTTTCCCCAGAGCTTTTCTGGACGGACAATGAAGATTTTTAATCAGTTCATACGGAGATTGAAGTAAATGAATTTTATCATCAGTAATGACGTGCAAAAGATCGTTTTGCGGGTAATTGTAAATTATGTTTGCTACTTCAACCGCATCGACGAAATTTGTTGGTGCACGTGATTAAAAGATGAGCTGACGAAACGTTTGGGAAAAAAACGAAAAAAGTTGGAGAGAAAAGTTCATGACACAGCAGCGCGCTTTCCACGGCTGATTTTATTGGTCGGACGACGGCCGGAGGGAGGTGTCGTGGGAGGGATCGAGTCGATGGGTGAACTTTGTGGCAGCCGGCCAGTTCGACGACTTCGTGGATTCTCCAAAAAGTAACTAAGCTTAAAAACGATCCTTTGAAATGTACAACCAGCGTATCTGGACCATACATGTGTTACCGATACCCTCGCCTGGTGTGTCACTATGTTCGACGTGCATGGGTTGCATGGGTGCGGTGTATTGGTGCATATTTGGTTTTTATGGTGTATGTGCGCGTATATTCGATGAATAGCGATTTTTGGGTCACCCGGGGGATTGTCAACAAAATTTTCATGAAAAGCCTCAATATTCAGTTTATTATTCAGGACCTATGCACTTAAAAATAGAAAGCTCGAGCTGCTGTCGATTTTTAAATTTTTTTTACCACGATCTTTGGCATTTGAATTAATGGAGCAACTCAATTCTTTGAATCAAAGAAAATTTCTTAACCCTCATTTCGTTAAGTATTTTCTTTTAATTAAAAAAATATATAAATTTATTGGAAATAATACTTTATTACATTAAAATTGTCTTTTTTCTGAATTACGAATTCCTTATTTAACTGGATGGAATGTTTTTTTTTGGATCAACTAAATTTTTGTTAGTTAAAAGAAAATATTTAACGCAACGAGCATAAAGAAATTTTCTTTGATCCAAATAATTGAGTTGCTCAGTGATTGTTTCAATCGCGACGCAGTGCGTAATATAATGACCCGCACCGTAATAGTCAAGTGTGTAGGTACGAAAGTGACAATTTTTTTCACGACTAGAGTGTACATGCAAATGTTGCAAAGTAGACAATCATGTATCTCGGAAAATTGTTAAATAAACATCTACTACCATGATTCCGTCGTAGAAGCAGGACATCTCCGGCAATGCAATGAAATCGACCATCTTACGATCTCCGATTAGGCCGCACTACAATTTTTTTTTTTTGTTCACTTCCAAATTTGCTTGTACTCCGCACTGCACGCACACAGCTGCGGCAAATCGAACTTTCCCCGCCGAATAACTTAATTATAGCAACAGCGCAAGTGAATTTTTACGGCCACGGGGGATTGCGCTACAACCGGTAAACACTGGCCGGTCGGGTTGCGGGATACGTTTCTATTAATAACCCGTAGCGATAACACTCGAGGGCCTTGGTGCGCGCGTATATTTAAACCCACTCGCGGCGTCCACGTGTGCGCATCGACGGAGAGAAAATGCAATGGGCTTCGGAAATTTTTCCGCGACCGGTTGCTCTTGGTTTTTTTTTTTTTTTTTTTTTTTTTTTTTTTTTTTTTTTTTTTTACCTACAAAACTCGAGGCTACCGAGTTTTCTTCTCTGATATCCTCTCTGAGAAAAATATATCGCTAAAATCAGACTAGTTTTTCATAGAAAAAAATGCTTGCTTAAAAAAAAAACCAACTATACGTCACAGGGAAAAAAAACTACCGAATGATATCTGAATAAGGTGTCCAATGAGTCCACTAATTCTCATCCAATTGGTATCTCCAAAGCTTACAATGCACTACCCAAAAACAACTAATTAAAAAAAAAAAACTAAAATGAAAAAAAAAAACTGTCCAGAGATGGCGAAAGAGCCGATGAACACACACGTGCGGGCGCGCGCGCCGAAACTTCCGACTGATCTTGACGGCCGAGCTTTTACGGGGAGCAAGGAGCTATATGCGCGGGGGTACACACACACGCGGGCACTCCCAAAGAGCAACAGGGAAGGGGAGAAAAAGCTCTCGGTTACGAGGGGCCCGGTCCTGCCGCGATCCCGCGTTGCGTCATTCAAAGCCACACTGGGATGTGTATGTGCCATTTTCAAAAGCGCGCGAGCTTAATCGCTCGATTCGAGGAAAAAAGAAAAAAGAGCCGCAGAGGTAGAGAATCGTCGCAATTGTACGAGTGCACTCCTCTGAATTCCATCTGATCGCCCGTGATGCCTTTTCATCGCTGGGGTAGTTATCATCCGAGCGCCATTCTTTCTTCTACTTGTGTAAAACGAGGGATCGGTATGAAAAAAAAAAAAAGATACGGCCTTCGGGAGGGAATTGTTTATTCGAAAATCGCCCAGGTGCCTTTATGCGTGTGGCGTAAAATTTTTATTAAAGTTAAAAAAAAAAACTCTTCGATACTACTGACCGTGTGCGTTGTATCCCTCGTCGTATTCCGCGATAAGTAAAAAAAAAAAAAAAAAAAAAAAAAAAAAAAAAAAAAATGGAAAAAGCAAGCTAGTAACGAGGGTAGGAGGGAGAAGAAGCGTAACGCGCGCGAGTATACGTATACATGTAAGCGCAAGCTCGTTCAATGCGTGAGCCCCTCCTCCACGTGTTCATATGGATTTTTCTGTCGCTGCTGGCGTGAAATACGCGGCCAAACTGCCGACGCGCACGAGCACTGTGCCGGCAACATCTGGCGATCTGCTGCTATACCTACGATGACGACGAGCTTGAGATATATACAAGCGTATGGGCTTGTGCTTGTGTATATATATGTATGGGCTCGCGCGCCGGCCAGAAACGGTGCTTTTGGGATAAACAAACGGTGAATTGAATCGGGAATGCCTTCGGAGGGAGTTCGTGTACACGAAGATTTGGGAGGATATTTTTTTTTTAGAAGTTGACGAGAGGGTGTCGATTTCTTTGCGAATTTTTTTAGCCGGCTGGGTAAGGTTTGCATTTGTTTTCAATTCGATTAGCTGAGAGGGCTGCGTAGGAAACGGAGTGATCGTTTGTACATACTTTTGTGAGTAGTGATTTTTTTTTGTGTCGTCGGTTTCTTAAATTTTTCGATCAACAGCAATGATAAACTCCGACAATCAAAAATCTTTTATTCAACCTGAAACCTAACGTTCTTTAACAGTATTTTGGTGCAACGATTTATTATTTCACTTTTAAATGTTTGGTAGTAGCATTTTCAATGTATTAATAATACTTTTCATTTTTTCTGTACAAATATAAAAAATAACAACAATTTTATAGCTCCTGAATTTTTTCTAAATTTCATGTAAATTATGAGAAAAAGTATCACCAGTAATCATTATGTTTATGATGATGATGATGATGATGGCGACAATAATACAATAATAATGATAATAATATCAACAACAATAATAATGATGACAATAGTAATACAAATAACAGTAATAATAAACAATGATGATGATGAAAAAAATTAATTTTTTTATAATTATTTTATGCTTTTAAAAAAAAGACCGTTTAATGTTATCCAAGTCAATACACTAGTCCCACACAGTGCATCGATCTACGTCTGGTGTACATAATCCACTCTGTGCATTATTGTGCGCCAAACAAGTAAAAAACCGGAATGGAAGAGAGACAAAAAAAAATACACGACGGCAATCCACCAGCTCAATCCAGTTGTTCGCTCGTTGTCGTGTGTGTGTGGATAAGATACGCGAGTGTACATATGGATATCCGAAGCTTCGCTCCGACCAGAGATAAGATGATGTGGGTTGTGTAAGCAAATTACTCGAGCTTTCCGCCGTCACTTTTATTTTTACTCTATGAATACTGCTTGTTGCAATTCTCAGTTAATCGCATGAGAAAATGTTTGCCGTTCTGATAAATTACTATGACAAATGTAATATATCACGGTGATCTGTTAAATAAACCGAGGGCGGAATATCGTGAGGAAATCATTAAAAATCCAATAAGATAAATGACGTGTTGGTGGTAAATCATTAAAACACATAACACTTTTTTATTTTTACTCTCTTTTTGGTGAAAAAAAATTGAATAAAAATTGTAACCCACAACGACCCAACAAAGAATTTTTCTCAGCTATCTTTCAAGCTCGAGTAAAAAAGGAGAAAAAAAGAACCAACATCTCTTTCTAGAGAAAAATGCATCATTATATTAAAAGATCCGCAAGATCTACCAACACGCGAACGCTCGATCAAAGTACTCCCAAGCCAAAGTTCGCCGAGAAAGGAAGGAGGAGAAGAGAACGATGAAGTAGCGCCGGGGTGCGGGCTCACGCAACTGCGTAATTAATCCAGGGCCGATAAATTTGCTCCGTACGTCCGTCCGTTTGTAATCGCGCGACGCTGGTCCCCACACGCGCTCACGCTCGCTACAACAGTGTTTGTAGTACTGAGCTTCCGTTGTGGAGATGGAGAGACACGCGAATTACTGTCGATTGACTCTTGAAAAATAAATCTGTCTTTCGGATGAAATGTCTAGTGATGATTTTATTTCTGATCGGCTGATAAGTTACTTGATCGCATAATTATGTTACTATAGCAATACGCGTTACCTTGGGTCAAACAATAATCCTTCAGTTCTTTAAAACGTAATAAATTTTTTTTTTCTTTCAATTTGTGTTGGGTACAAAATATTGATTTACACTGAAATAACGTTTAAACTTTTATGTGACTATTATTGTATATTTACTGTTATTTTTTTCATTAGTAAATCAGCATATTACAACAAACTAAGAAATGAAAGTTCATTCGCATATTTTTACCCTGAGGGTTGCAATGATGCAGTCAGCCTCAAAAATAAGTTTATATTAGACAGCAGTACTTTTAATAATACTACTTGGCATTTTTTAACGAATCAAGTTCACAGTATTTTTCGTCAGATAACCAATCTTCCTTGATTAAATCGCTTCCCTTTTCCCCTATCATGATTGAAGGTGCGTTAGTATTTGCTCTTGTCACAATAGGCATGATGGAAGCATCGATCACTCTCAGTCCTTCAATACCATACACTTTCAGCCTTGAATCCACCACTGCTCTAGGATCACTGGCTGGGCCCATTTTACATGTTCCAACCGGGTGGTAAACAGATATAAAATGTTTTCTGGCAACGCATTCATAGTACTGCATTTCATCCGATAAAAGATTTTGACATTCTGGTGTTGAAGTTTGTACCACCTTCATACCACTAGACTTAAAAGCCTGGGTCTCTGTAAACTTGTTGGTGAACTTAATCCCCTCCACTAAAGCCTTTATATCTTGAGGATCTGAGTAAAAATTGGCATCCAATAACGGATTGCCCCAAATTGGATCTGTTTTGTTCAACCTAAGCCAACCACGACTTTTCGGAGCAATAAGACTTGGATAAACACGGACTTTGTTAAAGTATGGAAAAAGATTGTACTGAGAAGGAACACCATTACTTTTTTTCTCATCAAGCTCAGTTAGGTAATGTACTTGCATATCAGCCACACCTGGACGTCTTTCAAAAGAGGTCTGGAAAAATGGAACAACGCCCAAAACTCCTGAGCTCACTACAGGACCACTTTTGCTTTCCAACCACTGCATAACATCTCTTTTTCTATGATCGATATGGTCAAAAAATGTTAAATTTTTATCAATCTCTAAGGTGATTACACTTGCTGCTACATGGTCATGAAGATTTTCCCCTACGGCCAAATCTTTGATAAGTTCAATACCTGCTTCTTTAAGTTCTTTCGCAGGTCCCACACCAGAATTCATTAGCAACTTTGGAGAATCAATGGCTCCAGCTGATAAAATCACCTCTTTTCGAGCAAACGCTTTTTTTATCGTTTTAGATCGAGAAGTTACATATTCTACACCAGTTGCTTTATTAGATTTTGAATTTATGATGATTTTGGTGACCCTCGAATTGGGTTTTACGAAGAGATTGGATCTCTTTTCCCGTATGGGTCTGATGAAGGCTTCATTGGTACTTTGCCTCACTCCATTCTTGATCGTAAATTGAAATTTACTGATACCAACCAGATTTCCAGAGTTGTAATCATTTTCCTTGAAACCCAATTCTTTCCAGGAGGCAATAACGGCATCAGTGTTTTTATTAGGTTTTGGTAATTCAATGCCTAAATATCCCCCAGTACCGNAAAAAAAAAAAAAAAAAAAAAAAAAAAAAAAAAAAAAAAAAAAAAAAATAGATCGATCGTATAAATATAATGGGAGGGGAAGATCTGGGTCTTGATGTTTCGTTCGTATATCGGCGCATCGGCTTCCAAAGTATATGTATACACGCGCGGATTCGTGGACGCGTCCCAAGATAAACTTTACGAGCAGAGTCGGGTGTGGAGGCTTTCTCTCTGTTTTGCTTAACCCAAAGGCTTTTTGATGAACAGATGGATCGACTCTTGGTGCTCGTTGGGTGCCGTAGATCGAAAGAAGGGAAAAAGTTGGCCGGATAATGTTACTTTTAGTGGGCAGAAAAAAAAATTTTTTTTTTTCTTCATCTTTTTCCTCTCTTGCCTCGCCAAGATGTATCCATCGTCTTTTTTTGGATTTTCCGCGATTTCTCGATGAGAAATGAAGCTTGCGTTCAGAAAAAACTTGACATTAAGAGTAATGATTTATTTTCAGTGTGAAACTAATCAATTTAGCCGTGAATCAGATATTCAATAAATTTACCACTAATTATTTGGTTTTCAAATATCAATTAAATATCAAACGCAAATCCTCAAAACTCGTGATATAAGTCATGATAAATCGCATAAATTGTACTTTTTTAAATTTTCGACTAACCATTCGGTTATCAAACACAAATCCTCAAAATTTGTAATCCATGTCATGATAAATGCATAATAAAAATAATACAATTAGATCTAATGGATGTAATAGTTAAATCGTTGAAACTTTGCTCGCACGGCATCCATGGATGATTACAGAGACTACCATAATGCGTTGTAACAAAGTATAAGAACAATAAATATAATATTTTTCCAGGAAAAAGCTTTTTATTCAGCTCATCGTGAATAATTCTCGAGGACGTTTTTAAATCAGCGGGAAAAAATCCCCCTTTGGCTGGTAGAGGAGCAAGAGACGGTAGGGGTGGGAAAAGCAGGGGATATTCTCGTTGAATAGAAAAGTTGGCACGAACATCTAGCCTCTCATGCAAGCTTTTTCAAACTGCGTCATTAATAATTTTCATTTACGTGTTCGAAACCATAAATCCAAGCGGATCTTACTCTAAATTCCTTTGTTCCCTTCTACCTCCTCTTACAACGTACCACCCTCTTGTTTTCCCCCATTGTAAATTCAGCGAAAAATTAAACCGTGTAACAATTAAACTGAATTTTTTTTTTGCAAGAAGCCTAGATCGTTTGAATAAATTGGGAATCCTGTATGGATCAAAACAGAGAGATAATCGAGATAATCGAACGGTGGGGTGGCAAAAAAAATGTACGAGTGTAAAATGTAAATCGACGCCATCGGTGGAACAATCAAAAGGCCATAATCGGCCCTCGGGTCTGCACTCCCATGGGCGAGTCGAGGAAAAAAACCCAACATCTGTCGTTCGGTCATTTTTCGCGCTGTATATTATTTTTACCCCACGAGAGAGACAGTTGTCCAGTTGTAGATCGACGTTTTATTGCGTCATCTCCCAAAGCACCGGAGGAACAAAAAATTAAACGAAGTCGAAGCCAAAAAATTGGACAGCGCCACAATAGCGACAGTGAAAACACTAATTGACCTTTTCACCCCTTCGACAATTTTACTGTAAAACAAAACGAGTGTCATTAAAATCGATTCAAACGCCGAGTGAGACACGAAGGGGGTAGAGTGCCAGGTATGCGTACCGTTTTGATTAAGCCATCGATCGGGACTCGGTCGCACGCGTAATGTAGTTTTTAGCCTTGCCAATAATTCATATCTCGCGCGCACATGTGCGTCCATCCGCTCTCTTCTCCTCTTTGACTCTCTCACTCTTTTGTATCTTTTGATCGAATATAATACGTGACCATTTCCGCTCTCGTGAATACCCAATGAGCCTATCGAATTTCGGTGCAGTTGTATAGGCTTTGAATAATGGATTTCACGAGGAAATAAGTATATCTGGTTTTTACTACACAGGAAGGGGATGAGGGGGAAAACTGAAATTTTAGAGCATCAATTGATAAGTTTTAATAATTCATAAAACTCTCGCGGAGGAATAATGGACAATGTGTATTGTATCTTTGGCAAAAAGGATTCATGAATAGCGTGGGGCTTGAAATATTTAGATCTAGTTATATCTGAGCATACGAACAATTGAAACATTGGAAGTTATACAATAAAAACAAATCGTTGACATTACGCAAGTTAAGATTACCAGAATTTCGTTCAAATGTCAAAAACTAATCTTTTAAAATGGTGCAATCATAGTGAGTGGAATTCATTGGGGGAGATGATGCATACCCCTAATCGTTTGGTCAAGGAAATCTTTACTTTCGTTAAGGGAATAAGAGCCTTTTGGCTCATTCTTTGCTCACATTACATGAAAACGGAAAGTCAGATTGGACCTTTTGATATTTAAACCGTAGAGAATCATAATTAGCTTATTAACGAAAATCTAATATTTGTCTAAATAATTTAATAGGGTAGTATTGGAAATATTGATTGGCCAACAAAAAGTAATTTTTCTACTTATCAACGTGGCTTTATAACATTACTATCGATATAAATAATATGATAAAGGGAAGTTTTTAAATCTGGGGTTGGATGACCTCGACTGAGGCTTAGATGTCTAAATAGATGTGTAGGTAAATGTTTGTGCTACTTGTTGACTTTGCCTCAGACGTGAATAAAAAATTTATTAAGACATGTGCTATCTTCTTTTTAAATACAGAATCGTATAATAATAATTGATGTTAAAATAAAAATTTGAATTTAACATTATCTGAGGATAAAATAAAATTAGATATGAGGAGAGGTGTAAATTTAATTAAAATGAAATTAAAAAATCGATACTTGAGGTACTGACTTATGTAATAAATATTAAAATATTTTTAAACGCATGAAAGACGTCAGAATATGTTACGTAATAAAATTATGACTGGCTAAAAATAAGTCCCATTGTCTGTTGGCTAATTATATATAATTTGTTAAATACATTTCAAAGATGATTAAAGTTCCCTACTATATGCATGTGAGCGTTTTGACATTTTAGGACATGGTTTTTCTGAATCTTTTTGTTTTTACTTCTTATGTATTTACATAAAATAAGTTTATGTCAGTTACATTGAAGCAACCACTTGAGGATCATTTTATTAGACAATAAATGTTAAAGACTATAAAAATCATACAGCAAACAAAGTACAGATGTTATTTAGTTTGGATTAACGTTATAATGTTTCTATGGTTCTTAATAACGGAAAAAATACTACATTCTAAATATTTAAATTTTATGTATAAATATACTTGTATTTTGATCTGCAGTTCAACTAAACAGTCCACAGTGTATTTGACCTCTAACCTAATTGAATATAAAACTAAGTAGAGACAGACGTGTAAGGTAAGACGAGACTAGACGGATAAGTAGTAAAATTTACTTATCCTAACATGATTTCGTTTAAAAATGTACTTTTTTCAATTTGTAAGAACTAAAAAAAATAAAGCTCACATTGTATTGTTGTCCATGATAAGCATTTCAGTTCGAAAAAATATTTTTAGCGAATGTAGAAATAGAGGGTAAAAATCAATTATAAGATTCTGGCCATCCTGACACGTACAGACAGACAGACAGTTGCGAGTTAAATGGTCGAGGTAAATCGTAAAATCTGAATACAAGAACAATACAAAACATATGGATAGGGCTGACAGACGTACTTATAATATTCGTCTTGAGTAAAAGGACTTTTATACTCAGCAGCTTCATTTTGGAACTTCATCAACCAACGTGTAAATTTTAATCATATAAAACATTTTTAAAAAAATGAATAAATTTAATCTTCAAAATGATCGGTAACCGTAATTACCGATTCTTTTCACAGTTATGTACACACGCAGAAATAGCAAACCAAATCAACAAAAGCCGCGTCTCGATAAAAGAAATCACTTTTTCAAACTGGCGTAGGGGCCCCACGAAACAGCATACCTTAATTAAAAGCCCAGAAAAAACAATAGCCATACAGCATGGGTGAGTGTGCGTACACACCTCTCTACCCGCAAAACAACCCCGCCGGCAATGGAAAACATAAATTCACTGTTCATAAAAAAGCTGTACAACCGCGCTCTTACGTGAAAAAAAAACCAACAGCCATCCTTTACAGGGAGGATGAAAAAAAAAAAAAATTGGGCAAGCAAACGAGCCAAACGAAATCGTTATCGCGGGTGCGCTCGCTTTTGCGCGAAATCGCTCCAGACAGGACACCCATACACACAGACACGTAGTGGCTAAAAAGAAAATGTAAAAAAATAATAATGATGGCCAGTGCACAGTGCTGGTACAGCAAGGAGAAACGAAAAAAAAAAAAAAAAAAAAAAAACATGCTCTCGCTCGCGGGGCTCTCGATTACCAATTTCCAACGCTACATAAATTCCTGTTGGCGATCGATAAAAAAAAAAAAAAAACGGCCTAACAAAGCAAAAAAATGCGCTTGCTCGCGTGTGTACCACAGTGTACCGAACAAAATAAAAAAAAAAAAATAAAAAAAAAAAAATGGAAAAAGCAAGCTAGTAACGAGGGTAGGAGGGAGAAGAAGCGTAACGCGCGCGAGTATACGTATACATGTAAGCGCAAGCTCGTTCAATGCGTGAGCCCCTCCTCCACGTGTTCATATGGATTTTTCTGTCGCTGCTGGCGTGAAATACGCGGCCGAGT